GATTCAATGTTACTGATATTTAAAGAATACTAGTAATATTCCTTGTCAAGGAAATCAGTCTTGTACATATGCCTGATTTTCAAGTTCATGGTTTTGTTTTTTTTTGGTTTTTCTCTGGTACCGGGAACCGAACTCACGACCTTGCGCTTGCCAGGCAGGCGCTTTTGCCGCTGAGCTAAATCCCCAGCCCCAAGTCTTTCCATTTTCAATGAGTGAATGGTTTGCTGTAGCTTCTTTCTTCAAACCCAGCTTTCTTTGAGAGAGTTGTGTGTTCTCAGTGTAAGGAGCAGCATGAGGCAGAGACCAGCCAAGACCCCCAGGCCTGTGTAAAGGCAACTTGGCATGGAACTTATTGTCCCTGGGTGCGGGCACACAGGGCAATAAGGCCATCTCTAGGGAACAAAGAGAAGTGGGATATTTTTATAGGGCTAGAAAGAAGGCAAGGGACATTAGGTAGGAAGATTTAGTAAACATCAATGGTCAAAGTTTTCTGGATGTCTTGTGCATTAACAGGCAAAGTCCTTGAGGCATCTGGTGTAAATGTTTGGGTGTCTTCAGATGTCCAGGCGTTTGGAAGCTTCCATGCTCCATCTTATCTCTTTTGTGACATCCTGTGTTTGCCAAGGGCAGCCCCATTGCTGAGCTGAGAATAATGCCTCCGCTGGCCGATAGGTTGGGTACAGGGCGAGTCATATCCAAATGGAGCCTCACACTCAGTAGCTGCATTTCTTTGGAAACTACTTTTTTTTCATGCTTATTTCATAATAAATAGGGAAAAGAGGGGAATGGCTGTTACTTGTTTTCCAGTGCTACTTCCAAAATATCAACACTAAAGCCAATGGACATTTTCCCTTGAGTTGCGGCCCTTACTCATATTCATCTATGCTCCATAATTATGAAGCCCATTAAATCCGCTTACTGGGGCTGGGGATTTAAATCCGCTTACTGGGGCTGGGGATTTAGCTCAACCGCACAGCGCCTGCCTGGCAAGCGCAAGGTCATGAGTTCAATTCCCAGTACCGGAAAAAAACCAAAACAAATAAATCCACTTACTGTACAAAGCATTCTTGATCAAGGGGTGTTCAGCCTCTTGAATAGAAAATCTTGCCTGAATATGAAATGGACCAGTGACCAAAGACTCAAAGACCCAGTCCTGAGAATAACAGGCCCTTAATTTTCTCATTCTTTTTAACACCTTATAAAGCCTTATTCTGTATGAAAGAGTTGTTTTTGGTACTTTGGACCCAATGGCCCCTCTCAGGTCTTTATCTTGAATAGCTTGCTTTTACTGCAAGATTTTCTTCCTCTATCCTTTTATTTCTTATAAACACGTTTTCGAGATACCCTTAAATAGATGTACTAACCTTTCTACAAGTTGCATATTGCATATTACCCCGTATGATGACTTAAAGCTGTAGCTTTACTCCACAAACTCTAATCTTTTGAATAAAACTTGATGAATCTCTAGAAATCAGAGAATGTGAGAAACTTTTCTTAGCAAAGAGGAAGAAATGAGACACCACTGCTATGAAGAAAAAACAATAAACACCGAATTTAAAAGTTTCCATTGTCCAAAAAAGAATGTACCAAAGTGAAGCAGGCAAGAAAGTCTTTATACCATTGTAATAGGAGCTAGAACTCAACTCCCCTGAAGCAAGAGGCTGAGAGATTTTCAAAATCTGCCTTGTGTTTGCTACTCCGTTGTACCTAATGGAAAAGTAAACTTTCTTGTCTCTTCAGGGCAAGCAATGGTTTTACCATTTGAGACAAGAGGCCCAGCAAAGTTAGGCATCTACCCCGATCCCCAGAGACTGAGAGACGGGGAGTCCGCAAGTAGTTAGACATTAGGTTAGTAGGACTGATGGACAGAGGCGGGAAGGTGTCCAAAGTAGCATGCATTGCCAGTTAATTAAAGAACACTTTGATGCGTAATATATTTATAACCATGTATAATGTCTCAGATCCAAAGTGATCCCACAGAGCACAATGACATTTTAAGGTTACACACTGTGCACATTTCTTCTGATACCTGACCACTTGGCCCTCTAACTGCAGAACACTGGCTGCCATAGCCTATAATTATATTAGGAAATAAAATCTTCTTTAAAGACCTTCTTGCTTTGGACTAGGACCTGGTTTAAATTAAGAGCTTATCTTTTGTAAGTTTCTCTCATCATCAAGGTCCCGGAGGAAGCACTGACCATCTAAAAAGGACAAGAAGGCATGTTACAATGCCAAAGTAACTTCTAAGTAAAATGCTGATAAGCATTATAGTTATACTAGTTCCCCTGACATCAAGAGAAACTTTTGAGTCCATAAACATGTACTCAAATTCACATTCAATGCAGTTGCTTTCCTAGCACTGCCTGCCTTCTTGGTGAAGGAGTAACTCTGTATCTGCTTTAAAATAAATTCTGCCTATATTTCTGCACAGTTAATGGGGTTTTTTTAATGAATTTTTATCAAGATTACAAAGAACAAAGGACCAAGGAAATGAAGGACCTGGCTTCAGGGTGACAGAACACTATCTTCCTTGATGATTACATTACAAAGGATAGTTTCAAGTCCTGAGAAAGATCACTCCCTGAGTGACAAAAGTAGCAATGGACTTCCAATATCAAAGGGACAGGGAAAGTAATTACAAGTTTTCTAAAGTAAATGATCCAAGAAAAGTAAACCTATAGTCAAATAGAAACGTGTCTAAACTTTGTCAAGCAGAGCAAAATGTTAAGGCCCTCTTGATCACCGTGGAGAACATGGGTCTCAGCTTCTCTAGTTTGAAATTCAGGGTCTCAAAGAGTCTTTAAAAGTGAAAATCAAAAAATGGAGAGAGAAAGAGAAGGGTGCTTTCAAAACAGCTTTCTGAGAAATAATTCCTTCGCTTTACACTTGCCCAGTTGTTAGTCATTGGCTGACACTAACATTTTAAACAAGACTATTCCAGCTTTTCAGTATCTCCAAGTCTAGTACGGAAGATAAAAACAAATAATGGTAACACCAAAGGTAAGCATTATAAGAAAGAGGCCTTACTATGAAAGTGATACAAGGATATCAGAACCTCCAAATATGAGATAAGGAAAATACTGTAACTCCCAACCTGTTAGATGTCTGATACCTCTAGTTCATATTCTCTAAAAATCGGAGAATGAATTCTAGGGACAACAGAGATTAAGAGTAGGAAAGTATTTATTGAGAGAAAGCCCCTGCCAGAGAAACAGGAAGGGTCCCAGAGGGGTAGCCAAGGACTGGGTTACCACTATGATCAACCAATAAGCTTCTAAGTACAGCTCCTTAGGTAACATGGATCCAATGGTGAAGCAAGTCATTTGGGCATGGAAACATCAAAGAACTCAGGTAGGTGAGGGAACTGGGGTCTTGGTTGTCCCCTAGGGTGACTGACGCCTATCTAGTCTTTGTTAGATCAGGTGTTACCACATCCCCTTGGGGAGTATGCAGATCTGGTCATTTTGTTGTTTGCTTGAGGCCTGGCCTCCAACTGATGCGTCTCTGGCCACAACTGTAGTGTTTTCACCTTTAGTCTGACTTCCTGTATTTCCACCCAACTTAGCTATCTATAATCAAAGCACTTTGGAGCACAGATGCTGTCAGCAGCTCACGTTTGTACGGACTTATGTTCCAAGAGCTTTACACTGAATCCTCACAAACCCTTGTGAGACACTGGTACCACCTTCACTTGATACAAAAACTGAGACACACACACACCAAAGAACTTCGTGAAAACCAGCGAGATTACGAATTCTGGCACCCGGGTTCCAGGGGCTGTGCTCTTAGGGCCGAAGAACGGTGCGGGTTATATTTGCTGAGCTATGACAAACATGCACGATTTATACGGTGAAACACTTGGATGCCAGGGAAGTACACAACTTCACGCAAGAGCAACCGCCCGACTGCGTCGGTCCGACGGCGGCAGGCGAGCTCGGGCCGCGGCGCCGGGAAGCCAGGCCGGCGACCTCGCGCGGCCTTCTCAAGGGCGAGCACCTTCTCCTTCAGGGCTCCGGGCGGGAGCGGATGCGAGAGGCGCCCCCCGGAGAAGCCGCAGCCCCGGGGGCGTCCCCGTGCCACAGCCTCGGCTCTGGTCCCGGGAAGGCCACCGGGAGCCCCAGGCTCGGGAAAAGACGAGGGAAACGCAACTAGAGCTTCCCGGAAAGTGGGCGTCCTCTCCAGCCCCGTCATTTGCGGACGCAAATCCGGAGGACGCACGGTCAAGGTTTAAGAGTTACCACAGTCCGGCCCTAGGTCCGAAAATGTAGGCAAGCCAGAGATTGTCGCCCTCGGGCCCTGGCCCGACCCTGGAAGCCTTCCCGCAAAACGCGAGCCGACGCCATGTTGCCGCGCCCGCCTCCCGCACGCTCGCCCTCATTACCCAGGAGGCTCTGGGGCCCTGACCCGATTCGAACCGCGGGCGGTGGCCGTGGCCAATCAGCGCTGGGCTGGCTGCTGTGGTAGCCAATGAGCTCCTCCTGCCTGGCCGCCCCGCCCGGGCCAGGTTGAGCTAATTTGTCTGCCTCCCGGGAACAAGATCTATTTTGGGAAATTGCGGCTGCGGCAGCTGGAGACGCAGGCCTGGGGCCTGGGACTCCCTCCCCGCGCTGGGGAACTGTGGAGAGGCCGCGCCCTCGGCCGTGGGCGGGGCGTGAGCGCAGCCCTCTGCCAAGCGCACCCAGCTCGCGGGGCTCCCAGTTCGGCCCACCAGCCACGGCCCGCTCCGAGCGGTGGCCCACTTTCAGCGAGTTGTGTAACGCTGGGCTCTCCCTGCCTGAGCTACCGCAGTGTCCTCTGAGCCGCCTTTTCACTTACCCACCCCAGGACGCCTAAACCCCTGTCCTGGGCTGACAGGCTCTCTCTGGGTTCCCATAATGAGAGCGCCTTTTCCCGTCGCCGTACCCGCTGGTCGGTTTAGCGCTTACTTACTTTCCTGCCTTCCCCACTAGTGCGTGGTGGTTCATTTTTAAGTCTTTGGCAGAGTGCCTGGCCGCAGAAATGCTGTCGCGCTAGTTCTTCAACGAAACGTTAAGCAGAATTGTGAAGTTCTAACAAAAATAAGTAAATAAACAAAACTACTGCGAAAGGAGTGGGAAGAGAATGTCCGGAGCCCCGAACCCCGAAGGAGCGGTTAGGCACCTGCTAGTGACCTCGGACGTGCTCAGTGTAACGTACCGAAATATGGTTTATCCAGGACATGAAAACCAAACACATGTAGAAGCTCTGGAATCACTCCTTAAATCTCACCTTTTCGGGTTTCCAGTATGACTACACGTATTTGTTTTCATTTTTCTAGCCTATCTTCTGTTTGCTTCTTCAGCTCAATCCCGACCCTCGTCACCCAGCTCTGGACTTAGACGGGTGACCGGCGTGGACTGTGTCAGCAGATTCCCCTACCTCTGGTTTCTACTGGGCTCAGCCACTGAGGAGCGAAGGCAGATCGGAGGACAACAGGAACGTGAGGTCGGGGTATCACAATCAGCCTCTGGCGCCGGCTCTGTAGAAATTATGGCAAGCCCATCTGAGTCCTTCTCCCTAAAATCTGACCTCCTTTTGCGTGGAGACTTCTCCAAGTTCTAGAACCAAACCCTCACATTACCTATTCATTCATTCGTTTGCTGAGTATCTGGCATGCCATGCAGCCTGTTCTCTAAAAACCCTCTTCTCCCACAGGAGTGGGCCCTGGTAACCAGGGAGATATCCATCCACCTCACATCACTGCAGCTGACACAGCCAAGGAAGCTGGCTCAATTAAGACATCTTTCCTAAGAGCTGGAATTGGTATGCAGTGGAGAAGTATTCATTTTAATTAGCATAGGCAGAGACTCAGCTATGAAGCACTTGTCTTCGGCCATGTAGATGAAAAAGCAGAAAAAGTTGACATGTAAAGAGAATAATTTGGAGTCAGAGAACAGAGGGGAGCAGAAATAAAAGACCATGTCTACCGAGAAAAAAAGCCTGAGGTAATAGCTGCCCTAATTTTGTCAGCCTTGGAGACCCAGCTGCATTCTTGCTCTTAAATTCTGTGAAATAATCTTACTTATAATAGACTCCATTTTTTTGCTTAAAGCTATTTTTCTGTCTCTTGCAACCAAAGAGTCTTAAGACAATGATGTCCCAGGATAAGTGTAAGGACTGAGGATTCCAAGCATCTCCATTAGCACCTCCAGAAAATTACACCCACGCTTTCCACTGTTACAGTGCCCCATGTACCCAGAGCATCAGAGTTAGCCCTTTTTATCCAGAATAAAAAGCCCATTTTGCTGTGAGGTTTGGTGGTGGTGGTGGAGCAGGTGGTAGTTTGGTTTGGTTTGGTTTGGTTTTCATTTGTTTTTGCAAGTTTCTCTGCATTCTAGGCCTTCATCTTCCAGGTGCTGTCCTATTTGTTTGTGTTTTGTTGGAGCTTTTGTTCCACAAAGGATTGCGTTAATCACACTGCAGTTCATTACACATCACTGGTGCCTACAAATAAAGACACTCTTATTTTATTTATTTATATCCTTCCTCTCCACTTCGATTTTCCTCTTTATGGTAGGCAATTTTGGTAGTGTGCTTAATGTGTATATTGCTTGTTTTCTCAGTATAGTCATAGGCATGTATTTTTAAATGTACTTCAAAGCTACTAGTTCTATATCTCATTCTATGTCTTAGTTTTTTTCACTAAGCATGGTTTTTTCAGCTTCATCCACTTTGCCAGGTGTTAACATTTATAGTCAGTATTTTTTAACATGGATGCTTAGTAGGAATTATGTTGTACTTATCCACTCTTCCAATGACAAACTCCCCTTGTTGTCCTCAAACCCACCTACCACTTTGTAAGCCTGAAACTGCATATCCTTATTTTAGTCCCCTTCTGGACTTAAGAATTTCTGGGCTGGTGGATATGACTCTAATGTACCTAAGTAATGCCAGATTGCTTTCCAAAAGTGGGACGTGTAGCAGTGTAAGTTGCTGTATTTCTACATGCTACACTACTCATAATTTTCTAGACTTCTGATTTTGCTGGCTTCGTGGTTATACAATGATAGCTCACCGTTGGCTTCATTTGCATTTTATTATTACTAGTAGTTTTAATCAAATTTCCATATATTTATAAGCTTTTTTCCTCATCAGTAGATTGCCTGCTTCTGCCCTTTGTTCCTTTTTTCCTAGTGAGTTTCTGTCTTGCTCCTGTTCATTTGCAGGACTTGCTTGTATTTTCTAGAAATGTAGTATTCCCTTGTTTTAGCTAAAGCAAATATTTTCTCCGTTCTTCCGTCTGTGTGTTAACTTTGTCCATGTTGCTCTTTACGGAACAGAAATCCTTAATTTTTTGTAATCAAGAGTCCTCAGTGTTTGCCTTATGGCACTTTTGAAAGCACTGAGATATGGGTACCGCTCTCCTGGTCTTGCCTGACATCTCTAAATCTGAGTTCACTGACCACATCCCTTTGGCCATTCCGTCCACTCCCCTTCACTGAACTCCACTAACTAAATTTCATCTTCTTTGAGACTTTTCCACAAAGAGTTTCAAGCTACAAAAATAATATATTTTAACTATTTGAAGGCAGTTTCTTATACCATTGGACACACATATTACTTTGTCTCCTTGACTATCAAGAATTCCATGGCATGGGGCTGGGGATTTAGCTCAGCGGCAAAAGTGCCTGCCTGGCAAGCGCAAGGTCGTGAGTTCGGTTCCCGGTACCGCAGAAAAACAAAAAAACAAAAAAAAAAAAAAAAGGAATTCCATGGCATGGTTACTTTCTCTAAGATTTTCCTCTCTCCCACGTTATTAATCAGTTCCATCTATGTCGGGCAGGATTAGATTCAAAGTAGCAACCTGTGCTGTGCCAGCTTCTTCTGAGGGATGATATTTTCCTTTGTAATCCAGTTTACCTCTTCTGATAGCCTGTGGCACATGCTGACAGTACCACTTCTTTTCCTCTCCTTTATCTTCACCTAAATGATTCCTTTCTCGTTTCTACTGTGACAGATGCAAAAATACCGTGGAAGACTATCTTCAAAATGTAAGGTGTTACTTCTTCCTTCTACCATTGTCCTTTGTTGTTATTTTAGTTCTCTCCCTTGTTTTCTTTTGTCTCCTCCATTCCTTCCTCCCCTCCTTACCCCTTTTCTCCCTTCTTTCCTTCCTGTATTTTACAAATGGCAGGAGAAGGGCTAACTTTTCATAGATCAGATCAAAGAAACTGCTTCTGTCTAAAAGTAGGTTCCCCACAAATATGTGACATGTGTTCCATGACCAGAAACCTCTTTGAAGCTGCTTATCAGAACTTAATTCCATTTCTTTAGAACAATGCAGTTGATCTGCTTTCACTGCCACGTTCCAAGCCTGAGTCCCATCCTACTGCATTTCTGTATATCGGTGAGATTTTACTTCCGTCATTGTATAAAATCTCAAAATCTATTTTTATATTACCTCCACTTTGTGCACTGGTGTAGAGGGCATATGTGGTTAATTTATCAGGGTTTTTTGTTTATTTGTTTGTTGTTTTCAGACAGCTGCTTTTTACTTATGTTTCCAGTGAATTGTGAGACGCTGCCTCTGCTGTTGCTTTCCTTCAGTGTCATACTGTGTATTATCTGTAGTATAAAATTTTATAGCCTTTTCTAAACATTTTTTTAAATTTCCATCTCCATTTTACCATTTCCTACCAGCATACACACTTAGTCTCCCACTTATGCCAGGCCCATTTAAAATTTGTAATGTTCTCAATTCAGGTGGCAAAGCTCATAGAAAACAAATTTTCCCTTCAGTCTTCTGCCTCAATTCAAGAACATATCGTTCTCCCATCAAGAGACTATAAGCCCCTTAAATGCAGGGACCATCACTTCCGAGTCTGCTCCAGTGCCTCCTAGGAGATGTAGCAGGCAGTTGGTAAAAATGTGCCAACAGCTCATTCAGGCATGGTTATCTTCTTTGATGTCTTTTTCCAGCACACTCACAAGACTTGTTTTCCTGTTATGAAAGTTTTGACTCTTACGTCTGAGCATATTGTAACCATGTATAGCAGAGTACAGTGCAGAACCATTCAATGGAAAAAAGGCACGCATGGATGATTTAGGAAACAAGGTTCTGTTTCCAACACTGTCTTTAACTGTGCAACTTTGAGCATATTACCCGTCTGTTTCCTTAATTCTGCCCAATGATATCATATTTATTCACTGGCAGTACTCTTTGAAAGAGACTATAATTTTAAACAAAATAGTTGGGGTAGGGGCTGGGGATTTAGCTCAGCGGCACAGCGCCTGCCTGACAAGCACGAGGTCGTGAGTTTGATTCTCGGTACCGGAAAAAAGAAAAAATAGTTGGGGTAAAAATAAAATAAATTACCCCCACCTAAGAGGCTAAAGGGGAGAGGAACTATTTTCCATTCAAGATGGGAGAAGGAATTTTCTTGATATTCTGGAATAAGCAGGGAAGAGAAAGAGCAGGAACGACAGGGTAGAGGAGTGTGGAACTTTCCTGGGGACTGTTGTTCCCTTCCCCCAATGCACCCCCCCATTTTTTATTCAAGTCTACAATAAAACATTTGAAGTGACAATAAGATTATATTTCTTGTTAAAACCAATGAGAAAGTTGCTTTGTCTGTCTTAGAGATGCTAACGAGTCAAACCAGGGCAGCCCGCACAGGCTCAGGGATACGGATGCAGGGGAAACGTGAGAGGAACTAAACCAGAGGATAAGGCAGAAATCTCATGGAATGTTGTAGATGTCTCAGATTTGGGAACTGGAATTTGGGCAAAATGTAATCGGATCTCTAACACATCTGGGAAATCCCTTTACACATCTGAGTTACATATAAAATGATCATCGCTAAGTCTTCTTTTGGCAGTAAAACTTTTGAGGGTTCCTAAAGATGACAATCTGTTTTTTAATTCTCAGCACTAAGATTTAAGCTTATTTATTAACATCCTTAATAAGCAATTAAACACATCTGCTCATTGTTGGAAAGGTCTTTCGCTACTGATTCTGCCACGTGTTAACATCTTTGAAGTGGAATTCGT